GATGGGGTAAAATTCAGTCTTTTAATCAAAAGCAGGTAGTGTCCCAGGAAATGAGGGTAGAACAGTGAATAAGAGTTCCAAGTCCGTGCCCTCTCCAAGGGGAAGACAAAATATGCACAAACACATACTATTAGGTGGTAACTGTTAGTAAGAAAAAAATGGAGTAAGGGATAAAAGATGATTAGGGAAGAGTGCCCCATTAGGTAGGGTGGTCTCAAAGACTTCTCTGAAAAAGTGATATTTAAATCAGTGAAAGATGTGATCACGCAGCATAAGTAATTTTGGGGATAATATATACAGTTATTTTTGTAAGTCTAGAATAACCAAATATTTTTATTCAATAAAAGTGAAAGATATTTTAGAGCTCATATCTATTATATATCCTCTCTTTTTCCAGATGTGGAAAGCAGTTTGGAAAAATACTGCTCAGATCACATAGCTTTTTGGTGACCTGTAATTATTAACAGAACCTGGTTTCCCAGACCCCACTCCAATGCTCTCTTTACCAAGTTCCTCTCTATCAGTTTTTGCATTGGAAACCTCTTGAAGCGGGGAGAAAGCTGTACAATTTTGGCCTGAGAGGATGTATGGAATAGGGAAGAGACAATTTCATTCCTTTACAGAGCAAGGAAGAGTAATTACACCCTGGGCCAATTCCGTGTATTTGAGCCTCAGGTATGTTTTCTTAGCACAAGTCGGTAGAGCAGGCGCTTTTTATTGCTGGATGTCCCCTTGAGTTGGTGCCTAGTCACTAGCACCATGGAGCCCCTCAATGTTGAGGCCTTGAAAATTTCCCTTGATTTACTAGATCCTTACAGAACAGATGACTCTGCAACTCAAGCCATTCCTCTTTGCTTTTGGCTATTGATTTTTAAAAAGGGGGGAGGGGAGATCATGGAGCCCAGCAAAGGCAAACAGTCAACCAGAGGCTCGGTTCATATTACGTCAACTGCACCTGCTTTAACCTTCAGATTCCAATGTATGTGGGGCACATGAATCTATGACAATCGACAGAATAAATCATTCTCTTTTCACAGTTTACTTATATTTCTTTGAATGCCATCAATATCAATGTAGCGATAAAAAAATTAATGAAAAAAAGCATATGCATGTTGAATTTAAAAGAAGATATATTCTCAAGTGCAGAAGTTATAAATTTGGATTTTTGACCATTTCTATCTTAAGGAGGGACTTCTGAACTTTCTGATCGTATATTCCTGATTATACCAACATGTTTGTGGTACATTTCATGCAGATAACATTTATCCTTAAATTTACAAGTATGTAGAGGATAGTTAATAATTCAGGGAGATTATATCTGAGGGCAGAGTTTTCTAATAGGTTAGTATTTAAACTGGATTTTTAGCATTCACACTTGTTCTTTTGAATATATGCATGCACACATAATACACTTAATTTATTAAAAACTTCATTTGCTCATTTTGGTTTTTCAAATAAAGAACATGCATAATCTCAAACTGTGTCTCCAATTTTGCATATCAAAGCACAGTCAAGGTGGCATGACAAACCAAGCTGGTGTTTTTTTTATGAACAGACTCCTCATAACAAGCTGTGTTACCTGGAGGACCTTTTATTGGTGTTTTGGGGGATTCAATATGATCTCTGTGAATAGACTTTGGTCGCTGTTTTTTTTGTTTTGCTACTTGAGGACGAGGTTTAATTACTGTATCCATATCTTCCATTAGTTTCAGTTGTTTTCGCCTCATATATTCTTGCCTAATAAATTCTCTGCGTGCTCTCTCATCTTCCTTCTTCTGACGTTCTTCCTCAGTTTTTCGCCTAAAAAATCAAATGGTTAAATTTCTTATTCTGCATGCCAAAGACAGATGACACTGGAGAGTTATGAATTTGATATGAGAAGGGAGAATTATTGTATTTTGGCACACTGGGGTAAAAATGGTTCATTTAAAATGTACTTGAGATTATTTAGGTCATATATGTATATCTCCCAGTAAAGTTATTTTAAATTAATGTTTCCAGAGAACTTCACAGTAAGATGCCTCAAATTTAGGATAAAAATATAAAATCAGGCAATAATTGGGGAAAATAAATTGACTTCTAAAAGCACCAAAAATCAGCACTGACCCAGCTGTCTTTATATACTACAAACATCTCTGGAAAAAAAAAATCTGTTAATAAAAATAAATGAGAAACTGCCTATTTGAGTACATACTTACCAAATTTTTCTAAATATGCCCATGCATCATCAACGTTCAGATTTAGAATTGGCACAATTTCCTTTACCTTGTTTCCTCTTTCTTATGCTCCATTTCTGCTTCCAGCTGTTGTTTCCGAAGCTGAGTTTCTTTTTCCCTTCTTAATCGTTTCTCCAACAAAGCTGCCCGTTTCATTGCCATATCATTTTCTGCTTTTTGATCATCCTAAGAATGTCATTAAAAAAGATTAAATATCTTAAGTACCGATATTCTCATTTTCCATTGTTGTAGTCACATTTTGTGCTTATGCTTATAACTGAAAGTTTGAACCCTCTATTACAACCCTATGGAATATGGACACGTTCCAGAAATTATGAAGGGAGAACTGAAGTGGTAACAGTTCCGTTAAGTAACAAAGGACACTTAAACTTATTTAAGTACACTCTTTCAAAACCTAGGAACTTTGCAAAGAACAGCCATAAAAAGAAAAAAAAAATAAAGATTTTTTTTTTAATCCTAATAAACAACTTAAAGTGGGGAGTTTCTAATTTTTAAAATTGCATTTAAATTGTATTTAAAATATATGCTCAGTTAAAAAACAAACAAAACAAAAACAACAAAATGCAGATAAAAAGCACCCCCAAATTAGTCACCAAATGTTCTATCACATAAATGAAACTACTGCTGCATGATTTTTTTTAAAGTTGAGGTAGTGACAGTTTGCTTGATAGGTTCTGAACTACACTGAAAGTTTTTCCTTTGAAGAGAATATGGGCATAATTATGCTCCTCTTCTAAAGTTCTTTAAATCTGAGAGCTAGTTCATTATCTGTAGGCCTCCTGGGTCTGCCTCAATTTCTACCCGAACTCTAAAGGGTAGCTCTAGCTCTCAGAGGGCTTCCAAAATGCTTCAGAATTCAGGAACTTTATAAGCAGTAGTTCGTTGTCTTAATGACTCCTTGTCAATTGTCCTTGTCAATAAAAATTTCTTTGGTGTCTAATATATTCACAACATGGTGCCAGACATTACAAATATTAAAATATAGGTGCCTAAGGTCAAGGAGCTTAAAAATCACAATAGGAAGAGGTACAAATAAGGTGCTTCGTACATAGACTTACATCTGTCTCTCGCTTTGAGTAGAGAGAGTCAGAAGACAATTCAGACAATCAGCTCCAACATTCATGTCTGTATCTAACAAACTGCATACATTTTGAAGTTTTCTAGGCACTTTACTATGCTCTGGGGAGAAAAAGATGCAGTACCTCTTGGAGGTCACAGTCTAAGAGACAAATCATAACAAAATAGATGAAAACTCTGGGTCACAGGTACTACAGTATGAATATGTTTAGGATAGAACAGAACACACAAAGGAGGAAATATTTAACCTCTACTTAAGGAATTATGAAAGGCTTGAAAGTGTGAAGTTAGCCTTAAAGAATAGTCTAAAATAAAAGTTATGGGGAAGAAGCTGGACAAATAGGTTTAGATTAGTCTGTGAAAGTCCCTGAACGTTATGCTAAGAGGTTTGAACTTTATTCAACGGGCAATTCTAAGATTTTCTGATTAGAAATAGACTCAACTGGAGCTACGCTCTTGGAAGAATAACCTCTAGGAGCAGTATGAAGAACAGATGCCACGATTAGAAACAGGGAGCCCAGTTACGAAGCTACAATGGCAGTCCAAGGGATGAGTACTGGGGTGCTGAGGATATGGAAATAAACGGGATAGCAGGTAGGGAATGGAAGGGAGGGTACAGATGTACTGCCTGTTTTACACTACAGGGTTTTTCCTGTTTTCTGTTCTCTGCAAGAAACAGAGGTAGCAAAGGTCTCTAAAACTAGACAGTAAACTTGCATTAGTGCCTACATTAGCATTCTTTTAGTAGTGTTATATGACTAAGAGACAAAATATGACTCACCTCCAAATTTTTAAACATGGAGAAGGGCCTAAAGGGCAATCATCCTGAGATTAACTTTAAAATAAGTTACAAATTTCCAACGTTATGTGCTTGTCAGTGGGTACAATAAAAAGATTTTCTTTCGAATGGTAAATGATCAAAAGTAAAACTAGCAATTGTAATCACTTTAGTATTCTTGGGTTCTTATTCCACTACTGATTTAAAATCTTAAATTGCTGCTATTGGGTGTTGTCTTTTCTATCTAAATTCCAAATTGTAGGGCTACACAGGATCAGAGATTATCTGCTTTAGTCCCTTAATTAAAAAAAAAAAAAAAGTATGAATAACACATTTCCAATTATAAAAAAATTTCTTCTCTATGTTAATTTGGAAAATATAGAAAAAAAGATGAACAAAATGGATGATAATCTAGTAGAGAACTTTTAAAATATTATTAGGCTTTTCTAGGTTTTCTAATATCTATGATAAATTCTAAGATTTTTACCATCGAGAGGTGATACTGTTCAATATTTATGTTGGTTGGCTACAGAATTGTTTAAATATGTTGTATCCAATACCAATACCGAGATTAAGGGTCATGTGCTAGACTTTTAGCCAATGCTTTTAAAGGAGCTATTTCAATGACAACTGTTCAAACTATATATGCTTTTTAAAATATTTCACCTTGCAAGAGCCTATCTGGTCAGTTTTTAAAAATTTCTTTAAAAAGAAAGATTTTTAAAAACCTAACGTATACTTACATACGATGCCAAGTTATGAGCTTTTTACAAATTGGCAATGGAATCTCTCTTTGAGGAGATCTGGATAGCTTTATTTATAAAAGGCTTTTGTGAGAGTGAGAAAGAACAGTAGAGGAGCAGAAACAGGGAGTGTCTCTAAACACGGACCGTAACTGGGATAAAAGGATTTACTACAGCTCTGAGTCCACGACGCAAGGCTGCTGTAGAAATCAGGGTGCTGGAACGTTACTCTAGTCCACCAAGGGGGGAGGTGCCACATTATACTTTGTAGGATTAATGGTAGACTTGCAACAAAAGAGACTGCTACTAAAATAAGTAAGCATGTTCACCAAAAAACCCCCCAAAAACCCCACACTCATCTAATGAAGATGCCCAGAACTGTGCAGATTAACATTACCTTAAAAAAGAATCCGCAGCATACTTTCTGGTCATCATCAAATTGTTCTTTATCACTTTCTCCATCATATTTCTCAACAGATACATCAGCCTTTTCAGGGGGTTTCAAATCTGAGAGGGAAACTTCAATCAGGTTAACGTTTTTAGGAGCGGCAGGTGGGAGAATGGGTTTAGGAGGTGGTTCTGTGGGTTGACTCAGCTGGTCCTCATTTGGTGTCAGGCACACCGTCTCTGTGACAGGCTGTGATAGGACCTCAGAAACTGTTGACTCAAAAGGTTTGATCTCCTTTTCTTCTGGATCATGCCCACCACGCTGTTCCAAAGTCCCTTTGGATTCCAACTCCTCCTTTTTAACTTCCTCTTTAGGTTTGGATTCTTTCAACTGAGGTTCTCCATCATCCCCAAAACAGACAAATGACCTGGTCTGAATAGGAACTTGACTTGGTGAAAACCTCCTTAGCCGAGGAAGACTGTCCACAGACCGGGGGGGAGTCAAGGTTCGATTCAAAGGTGTTATTCTTAACTCATTTGGCCTAGGAGTCCTCTGATTTTTAACAGAAAAAGATGTGCTTTTCCTGTTAGAAGACTGCGGAGATGGGTGGGTGGGACGAGGGGAGTCGGACAGGAACGGTGCGATGGCTGAGGACAGGCCTGCCTGCCTAGAAGGCTTAAAATCCCTAATCTGTTTCTGTGGAGAGGGCTGTGGAGGTGAAATCACCCAAGACTGTTGCTCTCTCATCTGCATTAACATCTCCTGCTGCAGTGACAGGCGCTGCATTTCTTGTTGCAGAAAATGCAGGGATGAATTTAACTTTTCAATGGATTTTGTATACTCTAAAATCTCTCCTTCATTTAAAGTTTCTTCTGAGGGGCTTGCCAGGTTCCACTGCTTCTCAGGATCCACAGGTGTGGTTGGGGACTTGAGCCACTTGGCCTGAGGACTCTCCATGCTTTCTTTTATGTCTGCCAGAGACTTGCTCCTCTGCCCATCAGTCTTCTGTGACTCCTTTTCCTTTGCCCGATCAGTGTATACTTTCTCATCCTCTGCACCAGCTGCTTCCTCTCGAAGAGGGGAAATCCCATCCCCTTTCTTTTTCACTACAGTAAGGAAGGCCGTCCTTCCCATTTTCTGCCTCTGTTTAGTAAAAGCGGCTTCCATTTTCTTTTTCTGGGCTTCTATAGCACGCCTCTTTTCTTCGAGTTTCATCCTGAGATGCACCATTTCAGAAGCCAACAGCTGGGTAGTGTCCCGTCCTTGCGGAATGCCTGTTTCTTCTGGAATTTGTGCCCAAGCAACCACATGAGGAATGTTAAGTTCAGAGCCCTCTGGTGTAGTTTTTTGAGAACTGCTTCCACTACTTTTTCCATCAGTGTGATTCAGTTTCCTGAACTTCTGTTCAGCAAAGCTGGTCATTTTAACTCCAGAATTGGAAGAAGCACTGCTACCTGGTTGAGATTTGGTGCTTACAGTACTTGGACAAGGACTCAAAGCATCTCTGGGGTTGCTGGTTCGTATATCGTAATCCTGAAGAAATTTAGATGCATCATCCATGTCAGAGTCTAAGCTTACAGTATAATCTCTCAGAGAAGAATCTTCATCCATGGTTTCGGGAATATCTTCTGAAGGAACATGGATTCCAGTGTCTACTTCAGTGTTGTCGGTTATGGGACTCAAGGCACCTTTTGTATCAGTTATATTATCGGGACTAGACTGAGTTAGTTTGATGTTTGAATTGAGGATACTCATTTCCTGGCTATGAAGAAAGAAGCCATTAGCAATTTGGTCTGCCTGGGGCGTGTGAGGACATTTTTCAGTATCGTGAATTATCTGTAATGCCTCCTCAATGCTTGGTGTCTCTATCTGATTGCCAAATTCATCTAGAAGTACTCTATTTTGTAAAGCTCCGTTTGGAAGCTTGTAATGAATATTCTCATTGGAATTTAGTTCGTTTGTATTAACGGGCACGTAAGACTTGAGGTCACCGTGAGAATCTATATTAAGTTCTTCTTCAATACTTTCTGCTTCCTCTTCTCCATTTATTGGCTTGAAGGATAAATTTTTCCTAATGTGTTTAGATGCACGATTGTTGTTCAGAGTAAGTCCTTCATTACTAATAGAACGAGTGATTCCTCGGTTTGGAGCGGATCTCTGTACGCTATCTTCTTTATCAAAAGAAATATCAAATGAAACGCCATGCACTGATGACCTAAGAAAAATTTAAAGAGAAAATCCTTAAAAATTCTGGAAAACAAATGAACTTTTTTATACCATTGAACAATTATTTTAAATTATATTTCTTTTCTTCCCCATTTCTCATAATCATTGTTCTCAAGGTAAGGTCAGGGCTATCCAGCTACCTTTTAAAGTTAGCCCCTTTAGCAAACTCTCTATATCTGCTTATGTTGCCCTTTTCAAATTTAGGTACGAATTAAAAGTCTAACTGGTTATCAACAAAAGAGACACACAGATAAAAATTAGCACTTCTTGATAATGTGAATACACTAAAAATAATTCTTTTTGCTTACCTTTTCTCTTTGGGCCATGTCCCTATGAAGCCATCAACGTAAGACATAGATGAAGACCTTCTAATTCCTCCTTTAAATGCAAAAAAGAAAAAAGCTATTGAAATCATGTAAAAAATTTTAACTTATACACTTTAACAGATTTCATATATTTGAGAATTCATTAAGAGCAATGAAAATTAAGTGGGTACATATGGAGAATTAGAGATCATTTCATTAAGAAAAATGAGTATAAGCAAACAGACCAAGCTTTTAGTGTGTAATAACAGCTACTTTGCAGAAAAAGAGTGGGCATTTATTTATATTTATTCTCAATTATTTCCCAGGTAACTTACTTAAAATAGCATTTTCCTAGGCTTTTTCAAATACATTACCTGAGGCTGAAGAATGAGCTTGGGGACGTGAATATCTAGAAGGCAAATGATGAGACTGTGTAAATGCAGCTCCTTCCCCACTGCAATGTAAAATAATTTTAAAATATTATATTTTAGCTACTTAATATAAATATTATATAATGATTAAAGTTAGAAACAATATTATCCTAAATTTTAAAAATATGGAAATGTAATATATTGTTTAAACCAAAGAATGGCTGTGATTATAGTATGTATCTATATATATTTTATGTCTTTCAGCCAAACAACTTGAAGTACTTTCATACACATCTCAATGTCCTTGTGAGGTAAGATAATGGCACATTATTTTCATTTTATAAATAGAAGAATGGAAAAATAAAAAAGAAGTTAAATGAAACTCACCAACTTGAAGTATTTTGGCCAAATCGAAATCTCTAAAAACTAACTAAAATAAGCCCTTGTAAAGACCCTGACAGCCTCCTTGCTCACAGACCTATGTCTGTATTATCTCTATGCCCTTTTTTTTTTTTTTTGAGACAGTCTCTCACTCTGTTACCCAGGCTAGAGTGCAGTGGCGTCAGCCTAGCTCACAGCAACCTCAAACTCCTGGGCTCAAGCGATCCCTCTGCCTCAGCTTCCCGAGTAGCTGGGACTACAGGCATGTGCCACTATGCCCGGCTAATTTTTTCTATATATATTAGTTGTCCAGATAATTTCTATTTTTTAGTAGAGACAGGGTCTCGCTCTTGCTCAGACCGGTCTCGAACTCCTGACCTTGAGCGATCCACCCGCCTCAGCCTCCCAGAGTGTTAGGATTACAGGCGTGAGCCACCGCACCCGGCCCTCTATGCCCTTTTGCGGCCATCGCCAAAGCAGCAGTGGCCAAAATGAAGTTTGATCCCTTTGCGACTTCTGACTAAAGCAAGAAACACAAAAGGCCTTTCAATGCACCTTCCCACATTCACAAATTATGTCTTCCCCTCTTTCCAAAGAGCTGAGACAGAAGTACAACATTCGATACATGCCCATCCAAAAGGATGATGAAGTTCGGGTTGTGCAGGGACTCTACAGAGCTCAGCAAATTAGCAAAGTAGTCCAGGTTTACAGGAAGAAATATGTCGTCTACACTGAATTAGTGCAGCAGGAAAAGGCTAATGGCACAACTGTCCCTGTGAGCATTCACCCCAGCAAGGTGGTTATCACTGGGCTCAAACCGGACAAAGATCGCGAAAACATCCTTGAACAGAAAGCCAAATCTCACCAAGTAGGAAAGGAAAAGGGCAAATACAAGGAAGAAACAATTGAGAAGATGCAGGAATAAAGTAATCGCAGATACAACTTTCATACAACTTTCATTAACAACTGCTAAAATCAGTTACATTAAGATTAATATAGTATTATGTGAAATAACTTGGAAACAAAGTCATGTTCTCACTTCTAAGTGGGAGCTAAATAATGAGTACACATGGACACAAAGTGGAATGATAGACATTGGACAATCAGAAGGGTGGGGGTGGGGGGTGGGATGAGGAATTACCTAATGGGTACTACATACACTAATTTTTGGGTGAGGGTTACACAGAAAGCCAAGACTTCACCACTATGTGACAACCCATGTAGCAAATCTGCACAGGTACCCCCTAAATATATTTTAAAAAATTTTTTTTAAAAGATTAGTATAGTGAGCTGTACCTTCAAGACCTCAATGACTATAAAGACATGAAGCTTTCCTTTTATTTCTTCTTATTTCATTCCACCCTATTCCAATTAATGCAGGGGGGATTAGATAGTCTATTTCTCAAATTATAATATAATGACATTTGGCCAGAATCAAGCTATCCTCTCTTAATTTTTCTCTTTACAAGTTTTAAGTCTGCCATGTCTCTCCTTGCAGTTAGTTGAAGAAGTTAAGCATCCTCACTCCCAATTGATTGAGAATAAATTGGGAAGCAAGATACAGTGACCGCAGATCTGTAGCTCTCTCAAACCA